GTCTAACAGAGACAGGCCACGTGGTACAGCGAGGCTGCAGCGGCACTGCGGGCAACAGCTGCTTAACAACCATCATGGAAGCGTCTCTGGATTTTCACCTGCAAAGGCTGTCTCCTGGCACACCTGATGTCCAAACTCTCACCAAACTCACTGCCATCAAAGCAGTGCTGACTCACAGCGATCCGCCTGTGGGTTTCTGAGACTGTAACTGTTTCCAGGAGTAGAAAGCCTGGTCTTTCTCCCTTGGAGCTGCTGGTGGTTTTGAACTGCTGACCCTGTGGATCGCAGCTAAGCGCATAACCCCTATGCCACCAGGGCTCCTTACTACCTAATGTCCCAGAGGTGTAAATGGATTGGTGGTGAGATGTGGGAGAGAGATAGAGCTCAAGAATGGCAGCAAGGTTTTTGCCCCAAGTCACGGGATTAATGGAGGTGCTATTTGCTGAATTTGTAGATACTGGCGAGAAAGAGCTGGTGTGGGGGGAGTGATCCAGTTTCAGTTTGGATCATGGTACCTTTGAGATAATTATCAGGCATCCAAGTGGAAATGTCAGGAAGGTATATTGATTTTGAGTTCATAATTCAAGAGGGGCTGTGGGATTGGGGATAGAAGTGTGATTGGGGAGAGCCCCGGGCACAGTGTGCTTGGTCAGGTTACAGAAGAACCTTTCCCCCTCAAAACCCCGGCTCCCCACAGCTTGTTACCAGTCCCTACAGTTACAGCATAAGAACCTCATTTATGCTCTTTGGATTATGAAACTACCGATAACCTGGGGAGAAGGCCGAATATTAAATCATGATGAGAAACCACTGTTACATGAATTAGTTTATTACATTCTTTCAGAACAGCTGAGATCTCCTTACTGTGAGGAGATGCTCAGACTGATGGAGGGGAGTTATGCGAGGGAAATTATGCCGAGGTATTGCCTGAGGGGCCAGGTTATGAAATGGTTCATTTTTTTCATGACCATATTTCATAAAAAGGCAGTGTTAGAATGGTCTTCAGTGGCGATATCAGTATTGGATTTTTTTAAATGGATGGGTAAGTCCGTGTATGTATAAAGTACTCTCTACAGCTACTTGGGTTTTAAATGAATAGTTTCTTAATCGACGCTTTAAATCTTTTCGATTGCAGAATGCAGAAAGCTGCAAATTAAAAAGATGGGATTCTGCTTAATATATTAGGTTGTATCCACAAAGGTGACCATTCTATCTAAAAGTGTGCTAATTTATGGAAAACTGTAGCTAGTCTTTAGAATTGGGCTGTAGACCATTCCTTTTAATAATTGCCCAAAGTCACACAAAATTTGTTGGTAACAAAGGTAGAGAGATGTGTGCCGCTTTTCCATCTCTGGTTGGAAAATTCAGTATTTTAGAGAGCAGTGGCGGTCAAAGAAATCTCGGGGATTCTGTTTTCTCGATGAAACGTCTTTTTACGAGGGGTTTGAAGCAACACACGTTCGTCTTCTCTCAGTTGCCGCTATCACAACCTACATCCGGAACAGCTGGGTTGGGCCGCACGCCAGGTGTTGGCGGGTCTGAGCGCGGTGCGGGGCCTCTAGAGGAGAATCTGCTTCCTGGTGGTGGTGGTGGTGGTGGTGGTGGTTTGGAACCTTGAACACAGACACAAGAGTGAGAGGGAGTGTGATAGTTACATAATCTGGTGTTAATTTGAGGATTAAGGGTGGAGGAGTGGAGTCTGGCTTGTCAATCGGGTTATAGCCAATGAGGCCTCTGTGGGGGCATGGCCTTCCCCTGAGGATTCTGGGAAAACTCTGGGATCTCCTCCTCGGAGGGGGAAGACACTTCTCTCTCACTCTGCTCACTCCCTTGGAGACTCACTACGGACAAGGCTGATTCCCTGCGAGACATCCCCGAGGAGAAGCCACATGGGCCTACCCTGATGCAGCCGCGTGGAGACCCCTGCCAGCGCTGAGATGCTGACAACGCCACTGGATTCACAAGACTTCCCACCCACTGGCCTGTGATCATTCTGCATGCCGCGTCATTGCATGTGATTTGTGAGTCTGAAGAGGACTTCATAGGTTGATATCAGACATATGGGCTAATATTGGGCTTATGGGCTGGACTGGGTTGTACAATTCCCCTTAATAGACAACTCTTTCTTATACACATATGAGGGTGCCAATGACTGTGTGTCTCTAGTCCACCGGAAGGACTAACATGGGAGGCCAGCTAGTTCCTTTTCTTCTCCTAGAACTCCAGCTCCTTTCTCGCCAGCCTGGGGCCATCTCGCTGTCCTACCCTGGGTGCGGTCACACTAACAGCCTGTTTGGATCAGCCCATAAACTCGCTGCATCTCAAAATCCTTAATTTCATCACATCTGCAGTGAGCCCTGGTGTCCTCGTGGGCTTTTCAGTGAGCTGCTAACCACAAGATTCTCAGCTTGAGCCCATCAGCTGCTGCATGGGAGAAAGATGAGGCTGCCTATTCCCATGCAGATTTGAAGTCCCAGAGACTCATGGGGGCAGCCCTCCCCTGTCCTGTCAGCTCACCATGAATTGGAATCCATTCCACAGCAGTGAGCTGTTCCAGGGAGCAGTCATAGATTGTCTGTCTGCTAAAACTTGTGTTTGAGGGGCTGGTCTGCTTTTCAATTTTACTTGTGAATACTGTCATTTCTAGTTTATTGAAGTTGCTAGACAAAAAAATATCCCAGTGCCCTTTACCCAGATTGATCTGTTGGTAACATTTTATCTTAATTTGCTTTATTATTTCTGATTCATAGGATTTCAAATACATCTGCATTGTATTTTGAAAAGAAGACGAGATATGTAATTCAACATTCATATCAAATAGATGTGTTGCTTACATAGGCCCATCTGGTCGGGTTTCTTTTGTTTAAGTTGAATTAGGGTTGGCAAAGTTTTCCTGTAAAGGAAAAGATTAGAAGATTGTAAATATTCTGTCAAATAAGAGGTACCATTTCAGATGTTGCAGGCCATCTAGAGCAGCGGTCCTCAGCCTTCCTCATGCTGCAACCCTTTCATACAGTTCCTCGTGTGGTGATGACTCCCCAACCATGAGATTATTTTTGTTGCTACTTCATAGCTGTCATTTTGCTACAGTTATGAATCGGGCGACCCCTGTGAAAGAGTCATTCGATCCCCAAAGGGGTCGCGACCCACAGGTTGAGAAAGAACGGCACATCTGGTGTGAGTGGGAAATGCTCCTCTCTGTGGGTGTGCGAAAGCGGCTGTTGAAGATACTCAAATACACCAGCATGACTGTATTCCACTCAAACTACATACATGCGTGTGCGTGCGCACACACACAGTTGTTGTTCGGGACTGTTGACTTGGCTTTGACTCACAGCACCCTGAGGACAACAGAATGAAGCACTGCCTGTGCTCACAGTCATTGCGATATGGGTGAGCTCCTGATTACAGCCGCCGGGTCAGTCCATCTTGTTGAAATGCTTCCCTTTCTTAACGACCCTTTCTACTCCCAGTTATGATGTTCTCCAGGGACTGGTCCCTCCGAAGTACACGAGACAGAGGCGTGCCGTCCTCGCTTCTACAGAGCATCCTGGCTGTCCTTCCAAGACGGATTTGCTAATTATGTGCTGCAGCCCTTGGCATTTCCAGTACTCTTTGCCAACACCACAGTCCCCGATGCAAATGCACCAATTCTTCGCTGGTCTTCCTTATTTGGTCCAACTCTTGCATGCACATGAGGCAGTTGGATGATGCTAAGAACAAAAAACCCTAACCTTTATTTTTGTAATTTTGTATTTGTTTAACAGTTTATAATGTATCAGTGTTTTCATTTGGATTGCCTTTAAAAAAAACTGAATGCCAGTATCAACCCTCAGGAGGCCAAAGGTGATTAACATTTTGTGCATGAAGACTTAGTAATGAGAGAGGTAAATGGACTTGCTCAAGGCCCTAATTCACACTGCCAGTAAGAGACAGACCTGGGAGCTGAGGATGTTCTTTTGCACAGTCACATTTGTAATTTAAATTAAAGCTAGAGTTTGAGATTGATGAAGTTATTCTTACGGATAGTGAGGTTTATTTGAATGTATTCCAGTGTGATTGAATATATGATTCTTCTGTCCCTACAGATACTTTATTTACTGTTAGTTAAAAATGTATATTCCAGGAAATTTATGTTTATGGATATGTGCATTAATAATAATAATAAGTAATAAGTGTAACTTTATATTTATTAATGAGCATCGTGTGATCACGTTCTCTTCATCCACACATTCTGTGTCTCTAATAGAAGGGTCTTGTCTAAGGGAGTGTGTTGTTTGGCTTTTTTTACAACTAGGTCCTGATTGTTCTCTGAATGTTCCTTCCACCGAGCCGTACTGGATTCTTCCCAACGTGAAGCCGTTCAGTCCGTCTGTCGGTCGGGCTTCGCATAAAGCGGTTTTACACGGGAAATTCATGTGGGTGATTGGAGGCTATACTTTCAACTACAGTTCTTTTCAGATGGTCTTGAAGTAAGTGGCATTTTCATATTTTCGCAGTCTTTTGTGGAGCTGAATTTTCTTCTTGATCACAAGGTCTCAGAAACGTCTTCCTTTATTGCTTGCTGTTCAGTTTTCCGTAACTCCTTTCTGACTTTGTTGTTTGCTACGTGGGACTTGCTTTGGAGTTGGAGTTCAACACGTCTAAAGTTAATTATTTGCCATTATGCACTTGGGGATTGTGTGTGTGTCTGTGTGTGTGTGTACATACACAGAGATTTCACAACCTCTGGAGGCTAACTCAAGGGAAGGTCAACCGTTCGAAACCACCAACTGCTCCAAGGGAGAAAGATGAGGCTTTCTTCTGTACAGAGCTGCATCCTGGACGCCCTCAGGGCGGCTCTCCCCGGCCTCAGGGGTTACAATGAGTACTAGTCGGCTAGATGGCCGTGCGTGTGGTTTTTGGCTCTGTCTGTATTGGGTATTATGAATTCTGCTTTTCTTTATTTTTTTTTAGAAAGAAATGTAATTCCCTACCTAGGAATACTTTTGGTTTGCCCTGTAAGCATTCATTTTCCTGAACTTTGACTTTGGATGTATTTTTAAGCATTTATTGGGAAAGTGGTACCAATATTTGGAATAGAGATCAATTAGTTGAGTTCTGAAGACAGAGAGCATGATTGTCAAGGGAACATGGAAGTCTGAAAAGTTTTTTTCTTTGCAAGTTGAGTTGTTCATTAAAAATCAAGTGACGAATGTTATTTGATAATCTCCCACATGTGAATATTTTCCATTCGAACCAGCTAGTGTAGTTGTGTTGTTGTTGTTGTTTTGGTCTGACAACTGGTTCCTTTGCTTATAGTTTTGTAAAGATTAGGATAAGGTTCTGGGAGTTGTCTTAAAAATCAGATTGGAAATAATTTGTTGCAGTTCTGAATATAGTTCTCTTCTGGAATACAGTTTAGTTGCAGGCGAGGATATTAAGACAACGTCAGCTCTATTTGAAGTCTCTTGCAGAAGTTAACTAGGGTGCAGATGCTATGTTTTACGACAGCAACGGGCTGTGAATGATCTGAAAGTCCTCTGTCAGTGTCTATTATGCTAGACTGTTTTACAGAACGTATACATGTTGGCATTAGTGGAAATGAGTATGTGTTGATGAGCTTAGATAACAATTTTTGAGCACTGAAACTATTTTCTGTGTGCTCCGAATCTATCAGCAGCCCAAACAAACGCCTCTGTGATGGTCGAGTTCGTGAGGAAGGACGAGCAATGACAACTAAATACACCAAGTGAATCAAGTGAATCTGTGCACATGCAGGCATGGGCCTGTGTGAGTGTGTGAGCATAAATCCCTATAACTCTCTAGAGATCTCTGCATAAGTGTATCGTGTAGCCATGGTACATGGGTGATAGATGAGCTGGAGAGGCGGGTACTCTACGCAAGCCAGAGTGCCAAACGAGGGGCTTTTTATTTGAAATGCAGTGATCAAGGTTGCCTGCATGGAAAAGGTTAGAACTAAGGAACGATTTAGAGATGGGAGGGGTGCTGGCAATCATCCAGAGGCTGAGGGAGATAAAGGCCTGAAGGGAGGAGCAACCTCTAGTGCTTGAGGCTCAACAGAGACCCCGGGAACCGGCATGCAGGACAAGAGACGGAGGAGACGGGGTGGAGAGAGCTGGGATGGAGACGGCGGGGCCGGCCACCGTCGAGGTTTGAGGCCTCATGGGAAGGTTTCGAGCATGCTGTGATTTGGATTTTCAAGGAGTCTCCACGGCTGCTCGGTTGAGGATAAAACCGGGGGGAGAACAGGAGCACAGAGGTAAATTCGGATGAGGCTAATATGTTGTAGCCAGACGAGAGGATCAAGGCCTAGGCCAGAGGCATGTTCCCCCGAGAAACTTGAGAGGAAGAAAAGGCAGCAAAGGAAACGCAAAAGGATGACTACCTGAGTCTGGTGGTGCCTTGAGGGCAAGGGACAAGAGTGTGTAAGGAGGGGTGGATTCACGGCGCTCAGTGCGAGTGATTAACCAGATCAAGTAAAGTGAGGATTGAAATAGCCATAGCTTTAGCTCGAGGATGTCGACTGTGACCAGAGCAGGTTCTCTGGAGCAGTCAGGTTCAAGGTCTGACTAGAGTGTGTTTCATAGAGAGTGCATCGACTGGGGCTAATACAGAAATGGGGCAGACACTTAAGAGGGCCCAAGGTCAAGAGGAGTTTTCCTCTTCTTCCTCTTCCTCTCCTTGTTGTTCTTCCTCCTCGTGGGGAAGCTGGCACCATATTTGTATTCCTAAGGAATGATCTAGCATGACAAAAACTGGTGATATCAGAAAGGGATGGGAGAGCTGTGTTCTAGGATCTAGTGCAGAAGGAACACAAGGAGTCCCGTTAGAGCAAAGGTCAGCCAACCCTAGACTAGGGTCCCAGTGTCCAGGAGCTAAGAATGGCATTGAATTTCTTTCCGGGTTTTGTAAAAAATGAGCAAAGAAGAATACGGGAGATTATTGTGGCCTGCAGTGGCCAAACTATTGGCGTCTCGTTCTTTGCAGAAATAGTTTACTGATCCCTGGTGACTTCAGGTCATTCACTGGAAACCAATGTGCTGGATGTAGATACTCATGAGATGGGTAGATGTCGTGGTGAGAATCGGTAGAATATTTACCGGTTAGTTATATTTCTTCGTTTGTGTGATGCCTATCTGTCATACAGCTGCAAAGCAGGTTATTAAACGTAATGCAGAAAACAATTTTTGGCATCCCTTACTTTTTGTTTTGCAAGGGTAGCTGTCTTGTCTTTCCAGATGAAGTGGAGGCGGCAAGGGGAAGGGGGCTTCATGAGAGTGAGGGTCTTAACTTAGACCAGTCCCACTCATTAGTTGACTGGGCGCTCTCTCTCGTGTGTTTCTTGGCACATGAGGAAATTTGAGTGTTAAATAGGATGGTAAGCAAACTGGGATTCTGGTAGATAAGCACTCGGATCTTCTGCTTTCATACGCATGCGTTTAGAGCAGCGAGACAAATACCAGCTTCTCCTTTATATTCTGTATCCCAACAGTCCTTTATTTAAAAAGTGCCTTATGTACTATACTCTGGGATTCACTTTGCAAAATCTTAAAAGAATTATCAGACAACGAGCCCTATTTGTGTACCAGAAATATGTGCTCATTACTCTCTTGAGTGCTAAGCATAGTGGGTTGTGTTGGGCTATTAACCACAAGGTCACCTGTTTAAACCCACGAGCTGCTTCTCCAGAGAAAGATGAGACTGGTGGCTCTCATGAAGATTTAGTCTCGGAAACTAGAAGAAGCATTCTCCTCTGTCCTGTACGGCACTATGAGTTGGCATCAGCTTGCTGGCAGAGGGTTTGAGTTAGTTTAGTTTGGGAGCTAACTGTGAAAATACAGGTGTGTAAAATATGCAAAAGAAATGGCTGTTGTAATAATGGAGAGAATTTTCATCTCTTTTCCAAGAAGAAAAAATAGACTCTTTTATTTATTGGTTTAAAACTGAAGAACAGCTCTTTGTCGCTTAAGTTAACCAGTTGGTCTCAATAGTTAAAGGTGATTGAACCAATTAATTCCATCAGAAAATCTTAGTCAGTTTAATGCATGCTATGCGTGTAAGTCATTGAACAAGATGAGGTGCATCTTGAATGCATCTTGATGAAAACTTACCAATAGAGAACATGGAATTATGAGCTTATTATTTATAATTGTATTACAGTTGTATTAGTTGTAATTGCACCAATGACTAATTGGATACAAGTTTGAGAAAAATGCATGCAAATTCAAAAAATAAACAAAACCCAAACCGAAAATGAATCTTAGTTTGTGACGTTCTCTTTCTTGCTTGCTTTTAGTTACAATTTAGAGAGCAGCCTATGGAACGTAGGAACCCTATCCAGGGGACCTGTCCAGAGATACGGACACTCGCTTGCTTTACATCAGGTAAGACCACTGATAAAATTAATACGTTTATGTACTGTAGGATTCATGAAGTCACCGTGTCATTAGAATATTTTGAGTCAAGAATTACTCGTGTATTTCCTGATTAGTATTAAACCTTTAAAATCAGATTCTTATGCATTTTCTGTGCATATTTAAAACAATTTGGAAGGCACAAGAACAGTATAAAGAATAAAATTAAAATGACCCATGGTGTTTGCCTCTTTTTAAAAAATTTCATGGACGTGTTTTAAAGAGAAAATAGAATTGAAAAAAGTTTTTAAAAATCATTTTATTGGGAGCTCTTACAGATATAATAATCCAGAGTTCAATCACATCAAGCAGTATTGCACAATTGCTACTACGATCAGTTTCAAAACATGTTCTTTCTTTTTGAACTCCTTTATATCAGCTCCCCATCATCCCCTCCCTCCTCCACGCCATCCCCCAGGAACCCTTATTGTGATTACTTTTTTCCCCTATATATTTTTTGGCCATACCTTACATGATCCAGTATATCCATTCACACCCATTCTGTTGTTTGATCCCATCGAGTGTAGAATACATTCATCAATGCTATCAGCTCCCTATCCCCCCTTCCCCTCCCTTGTCCCTTACCCCCAGGGAGCCATTACTCCTGTTACTGTTTCTGAAGGGCTATCTCTCTTGGCTCGCTTTCTCTCCTTATGTGTACGTTGGTGTGTTTATAAATAATATTTATGTGCTGTCTGTCTTCTTTTAGTTATACTTTTAATTTTTTGCGTTCTTTTCATTTTTGTAATAGCTTTATTGAGATATAATTCATCTGCTAGACCGTGGGTTTGCTCAGAGTGTCGGCATTCAGAGTAATGTGGACCCTAACCAAAATCTGCTTCAGAAGATTATTATCACCCCCACGGAAGCCATGTACATTTCAGCTGTCACATACACCTCCCTCTCATCACCGTACCTAAGCAGTTGATAATCTACTTTTTGTCTGTATTGATTTTTATATTCTGTATATTCACACAAACAGAATCATGTAATATGCAGACTTCTGCGACGGACTTCTTTTACTTAGCGTTCTGTTTTCAAAGTTTATTCATGTTGTAGCATGCATCAGAGGAGCCCTGGTGGTGCAGCGGTTATGCATTGGGCTGCTAACCACAAGGTCAGCAGTTCAAAACCACCAGCTGCTCTGCGGGAGAAAGATGAGTCTTTCTCCTCCTATAAAGAATTAGTCTTAGAAACCCACGGGGCAGCTCTACTCTGTTCCAAAGGGTCCCCATAAATCGGCATTGACTGCAAGGCAGTTTGGTTTTTGGTTTTGGTAGCATATGGAAGTACTTGCTTCCATTTTATGGCTGAATAATACTCTGCTGTATGGGGAGAGTATGGACACAACCAGTGGTTTATTGGATTATTGATCAAATGATGGGCCTTTGGTTGTTTTTACCTGTTGCCTATTATGAATTATGAAGCTCCGGACATTCATGTTGCACAAGCTTTTGTGTGGATGTGTGTTTTCATTTCTTGGGTCTACACACCCAAGGAGTGGAATTTCTAGATCAAATGGTAACTCTGTATCTAACTTTTTAAAAGAAATTGCCAAAGTGATTTCTAATGCGGCTGCATCATTTCACCCTCTCCCCAGTGGTGTCTGAGAGTTCTCATCCACACCAATATCTGTTACCATAGGACGCTTTGACTGCAGCCATCAGTAGGTACCAAGTGCCGCTTGGTTTTGTAGGTACCTAAGGATTGATGATGTTGAGCATCGTTTCAGGTGCTTCTTAGCCATTTGTGCATCTTCTCTGGAAAAATGTCTGTTCAGATCCTTGGCCCATTTTTAAATTGGGGTATTAGACTCTAACTGAGTTGCATGATGAAAAAAATATATATTCTGATACAAGTCCCTTACCAGATGTAGGGATTTGCAAACCTTTTAAAAAATTTTGCCAATTCTAAGGATTCTCATCTCACTTCCTTGATTTCACCTTTTATTTATTTATTTTTGATCACATCCTTTCAAGCACAAAAGACATTTAAAAAATTGATGAAGTGGATATATATTTTCATTTTGTTGTCTTAAGAAATCCATTGCCAAATTCAAGGTAACATTTTCCAGAGTTTTATACTTTTGGCTGTTGGGGGAATTAGGTTTTTGATCTTCACTTGTAAATGCTGTGTAGTAAGGGTCTTATAATTCATCTGTTCACCTGGACTCTCCAGTTCTCCTTGCACCATGTGTTGAAAGGACGGGTCTTTCCTTATTCAGCGGTCTTGGCTTTCTTGCAGAAAATCTGCCAACCATACTACACGGACTTCTATCTGGCCTCTCACGTTAGTGCCCATTGATCTGGATGCCTAACCTTAGGCCAGTAACTGTCTTGATCGCTTTCGCTTGGTGGTCATTTTTGAAGTAGAAAATTGTGAGTCCTTCAACTTTATTTGTGTTGTGCCTAAAATTCTTATTCTTTTTGATGTTATATAGTTGGAATTGCTTTTTATCTTTCATGTTTAGCTTGTTCATTAGAAGTCTATAGAAATACAATTGAATTATGTATATTGATCTTATGTTCTGCAGCCTTGCTGAACTTGTTTATTAATTCTTATTTTTCAATGACTGATTTCTTAAGATTTTCTGTGTAAACAATCATGTCGACCTTGAATAGAGATGTTTTGCTTCTTTATTTCCCAGCTAGGTGCCTTTCATTAACAATTTTTTTTTTTTTTGGTGGCTAGAACCTGTAGTATGATGTTGAGGAGAATCATAAGGGACACCCTTATCTTGTTTTGATCCCAGGGAGAGACATCCTGATCCCAGGGGAAAGCATCTAAACTTTCGCCATTTACTACGATGTTAACCTAGTTCTACTCAGACGACCTCTCTCAGTTCAGGAATGTTCCCTTCTGTTCTCAATTGACCTAGTGCTGGTTGGTATTACCTATGCATCATTTATTCAGTCACATGCGATTGAAATCATTGGGGTGACTCACAGATAGTAGTACAGAGCTTTAAAAGGAGCCCCGCGGCTGTGGGAGTTAGGTACGTGAGGCTGCTAGTCCCGAGGCCGGTGGTTCTTACAGAGCCCAGGAAATGGTCATTCAAATGTGTGGCACATGAGCACAGGTGTGCTTTACCTTTCATGGCAGGCATGGGTAAAACGATTAAATCTGAGTAGCAGAAAGCCATACAGATAGATAGTTAATTCCCATGCAGCAACAAGCACTCAGCCCATGCAAAGACTGAAGAGACAGACTCTGTGTCATGCTAACCAGCAACTCAGCTGTGGTTTTTCAGTGGCATTTGAAGAGAATATTAGTCTTGATTGTAGAACTGCCTCAATCTTTAATTTCAAGTACCTAAATAGAATATTTTATTTTTATTCTTCCAATATTAGCTCAGTGTTCCCTTCCTACAGATATGTAAACATTTGGTTATTTGCTATGTATTGTAAATGTTTTAAATAACATCTCTTAAAGTAACTTCATATAAACATGGCTTTTTTTTTTGTTTTTTTTGCCTTGTGTTGGAAGGTAAATGTATTCATTAAACATACTCATGTGTTTCAAACTGACTCTTAACATATAAAAAATAATACCTCCTGCATGTTATGAGCAATTACTAAATTTTAAGGCTTGCTGTTTTGTGTATCAATATACGTATTTTACTTTTCAGGAAAACATCTTTATGTACGGAGGCAGAATTGGAACCAGTGATGGCAATGTTTCAGATGAACTCTGGGTTTTCAACATCCCCAGCCAGTCATGGAGTACAAAAACGCCCACTGTCCTTGGCCATGGCCAGCAGTATGCCGTGGAGGGCCACTCGGCACATATTATGGAGCTGGACAGCAGGGATGTCGTCATGATCATCATATTTGGATATTCTTCAATCTATGGTTACACAAGCAGCGTACAAGAGTATCATATCTGTGAGTTACTTTAACACTGTAGTCGATTACATACTCTTCATTCACTGAAAATATTTTTATCCTGAATGAAACTTCTCACACAAATTTCGTCAAAACGGTGAAGGATTCGAGGTCCGAGTTGTAAGCCGAGAATGCATAACTGTCAGTGTACGCCATTTGTTTTTGTATTAGATTTTGTCCTGTAATCTCATCTTCCTTGCCAAATTAGGGGAAATGAATTCTAAACAAAGGTAAGTCAAAAGTATTACAAAACACCACCAAAGCATTGGACAGATGGTGGGCTGCCGGAAGAACCGGCACATGTGTCTTGGAAGAAGTATCGCCTCAGCGGCAAGGATGGCGAGACTTTGTCTCACGTACTCAGGACTGTTGTCAGGAGAAGGACATCATGCTCGGGAAGTAGAGGGGCAGCGAAAAAGAGGCAGGCCCAGGACAAGATGGATCGATTCAGTGGCTGCATAAAAACCATTGTGAGGATGATGCAGGACAGGGCAGTGTTCCGTCCAGTGGCACACCGCGTGGCTGTAGCTGGCACAGACTGGCCGGCACCTGACAAGAACCGGTCAAAAAGCGTGGTTGCTAAGTGTGCTAGTTCCCACACGGACAGGTTTATTCCAGACGAAACGTGTGGAGACATGTCTCTGCCACCAGTGGGTGGCTTCAGACACGTTCTCTCCTTACGACACTTGTCTTAGGGGTTATGGGATGGGCTGCTCACCACAAGGTCAGTAGTTTGAAACCACCAGCCACTTCTCGGGAGAAAGATGAGATTTTCTACTCTTGCAGAGTCTAGGATACTTCCGCTCTCCCTTGTCCTGTGGGGTTGCCATGCGTCTGAATGAACTTGATGACACTAGTGAGTAGTCCCATTAGTGTCCCCTAAAATTAAAAAATAAAAGTCCAATCAAAACAGTGCCTTCTGAGGGCATCTCCTGGCGCTGACATCCCGGGCAGAGAGGTCCGCTCGGGAGGTCATGGTGCCTGTTGTTTGGAAGCCCATACCAAAGGGGTCATTGTGAGAGATTTTCTGGAAGGAAAGGAGCTTACTAGAAAGAGGCTTAAATAAAATTGAAAACTGCATTGGTGAGAGAGAGGAAAATGAGAAGTCCAGGAAAGTTACGCTGAAGAATTTCCCCCCTAGAACATTGCCATAGCTGCTTGTTCTTAGTCTCAAGGGTAGCAGGGCCTGTCCTGCCAGGATTTCATTGGCAAACCATATTGCATCCATCCTCCAGCCCTGCCCTTGTCACTCTGTTCCCAAGACTCAACCTTTACAAGGGACACACGGTTTGAGGATGTCCCCACTGCCATTTTGACGCGGTTCCTTGGGGGAAGGGTTACGGAGATGGAAAAATCACTTTCGGAAGTGTATGAACTTAGATGGAGGCATTGTCCAGAAACCACGGCTTTGATTTTTTTGTTTAATCAAGCTTCCTATGTAGCGATACTTTGTGGCTCACATTTTTCTAAGACTTGAGACTGCTTTCAAATTTCAGTAGATGGTGCTGTTTCTCCGGATTTTACCTATGAACCCAAAGCTGAAATTGACCCAACTTCTTCGCAGTGTGTGCCATGTTGCAGG